ATAGGGAAAGCCAGGACCTGAGAAGTCACTGAGCCTGGCTGCTGTTCCCTTCATCAAATGTGTGTATAACTTGGCAGTTTCTTATTTTATGGAAGGATGAAGGGCACAGTTCTCTCCTTGGCTGTTGACTGGGCCCTCTCCAGAAGTGACTTGTTCTTGGAATAAAGAATCAGCTGAAGCAGTGACTGGAAAAAGAATGTGGTTTTCATTCAAAAGCTATTAATATCTTTCCTCTTCATGCTGTTGCAGGGCTGGTGTATTATGGTAGAGTGTTAGTGCTCCAGTGTCAGAAGTGCTATAACACCTTTGTAGTCCGTAGCCTTGTGTGGCTAGGTTCTGAATGCCTACTGTGAGCCAAGTTCTTAGCACTCTGGACATTTGGGACTAAAGCTGGGTGTAGTGGCACACACTTTTAATTGCAGGGGCAGAGGCAGAGGCAGAGGCAGAAGCAGAGGCAGAAGGAGCTCTGTGAGTTGAGGCCAGCCTGGTCTATGTAGCAAGTTTCAGGCCAGCTAGGCTACATAGTGAGAGTGTTTCAAAGTGGGGGAAATATCATAAAGAGGTGGTTAAGAAAAATCTTTAAAGGGTCCTGAAATGAAGATATTGAAAGAAAGACAGAAGGACTGTGCTGTGGCTCATTTTATCATTTCCGTAGAATTTTTGTTTTGCTTTCACATCTAATATTCCCAGATAAAACCTTGCTCCATGTACTGCACATTGGTCACTGTTATGGACTGCACAATTCTCCAGTAATCCATCATTTTGCATGTAGCATACAGTTTGGACTTGAGACTTAGCCAGCTCTCCCTTCCTCCTGCTCCTCTCCCTGCTTTCCTTTCTCCCTGTTTTGTGTTGTAAACACTGGTGTGCAGGTTAGGGTGGCTTCCTTTCTTGGCCTAAGTCTTTGAGGTGACTTCCCACTGTGTAGCTCAGGTTGACTTCAAATTCATGGCAAACCTGTGATAACTTACTGAGTGCTGTGATTTTTAAATGTTCACTGCCAAGCCCAGCTTCTCCAATTCATGATAACAAAAAACAAAAATAATTAACAGGAGCCAGGTATTGTGGCACAATCCTTTAATTCCAGCACCTGGGAGGCCAGCCTGGTCTACATAGTGAGTTTCAGGCTAGCCAGTGCTACACAGAGAGAGCCTGTCTTAAAAAAACAAACAAAAGCAAAAACAAAACTACAAAAAAAAACCCGACCAAGAAGTCTCTAGGATGCTAGGGTGTACTTGGTTGTAGAGGGCCGGGTCTGGAGGAGGCGACTCTGGGACTGGTTCTCAGCAGCCTAAGCTTGAGGTCCCAGTAGAGGTTAGGACCAGGTGGTCAAGATCATCCTCTGCCCATTCTTGGCCTATTTGGGAAAAAAAGTCTCCATCCCCTGCTGGTTGCCTCTGGGAGGTAAAATCACCCAGGTGAGAGTGTTATTTACATCCACTACTAGTAGGGCCCCTCAACAGTTCTTGAATCCTCATACTTGGGCAGTGTGTATTTTCCCACTAGGACCCTGGCCTCCAGCATTGACAGGTGCTCCCCTTAGGTATCTAGAAATGTGTAAGAGGGTATGGGGTGGAGCTCAGTGCTCCTTCCTGTGGGACAATTCTCCATTTGTTCCTTTGGATTTCATTTTGTTTTGATAGTATGTATCTGTGGCAAAACTTTCCATAAATATTTTATTAATATGACCCAGAGTTAGCCTTCATTTTAAATTGAGCAGCCTGGTGCCAAGTGTAATGTGTGGCTATCACCTCTGTCCTGTTCTGAAACATTCTCCTCACTCAAGAGCAGCCCCCGCGCCGACTCTATTTCTCCACCCCAATGCATATGATGTCTGGGTTTTTCTGTTTGCTCCTTCCCAGTTTGAGGAGGATAGCTCAAGCTCTTACTTTCTCATTCCTACTACCAAGATGGCCATGTAATGTGTTAATATTTGAACCCAGCTTGGGTAGAGACTCAGGCAGAAGTTCGTGGCAAAAATTTATATGGGAATCTAAACACTACATTAAATGTTAGATCCTAAGGACAGGGACAAGGAAAGGCCACAGGGTGCCCTTTGAACTGGGTTGTGGCGTTTCATATGAACAAGTGGCCTCTTGTATGGACATTCTCTGGGGTGCCGGGGGTGGAGCCCAGGGTCTTTCCTGCACCAGATGTGTTCTAGCACTGAGCTGAGTCCCTTCATTTTGATGGTGATCTAAGAAGAAACAAGGAAGCTTGTTCTGGCTCCTTAGCTGTTTGTTAGCTGGCACTGTCCCTGGAGAGAGCAGGAAGACTAGGGTTCATCTCTGGAGTGTAACTGAGACATGGCTCAGGTGCTCTGCAGATAGGTGTGGTGCCAGCGTAACCGTCTTCTCCCCCAGCCTCACTTCTGCTTCTCGATTGGAGTCCTTTCCCCATTTTGGTCAGGGGCCTTCATGTGTGCTGCGTTGTCTGGTTTGTCTCTGGAGAAGGTGAGAAAGCACCTTGTGTTTCTGCCTGCCAGTTTGTGAAGGATCCCTCTGTCTGCATACTTCAGGGCTAACCGGTGTCCAGAGAAGGGAAGTGACTGCTCTGTCACAGGGCCAGCAAGTGGCCTGGCTAGGATGAGGACTTAAGTCTTGTGACTTCCTGATGACCATTCTTCCCTGCACAGCCTAGGGCCTCTCTCTGTACTTGGTGCTGCTGGTGCATGGCCATGGAGCACCTGTACATCCTGCATCTTCGAGGCTCTCTTCCCATGTCTGTTCAGGGATAAGATGACCACAGGTGCCCTGCTGCGGTCAATATTCTCACTGTGATTCATTATGGTGGAGATCACAGCCAGGGAGCCAGCCATTAGGCTGAGAGCCTTTAGGGTGCATTTTCACTGGGCCCATAAAATCCTGGGTTCAGATACCTAGTACTCATATAAATAAGCCAGATGTGCTGGAGTGTACTCATCATCTAAGCACTGGGGAGGCAGAGACAGGTGGATCCTTGGTGCTCCCTGGATGGCCAATCTAACCTGAGACCTGTGGTTCGGTGGGAGACCCTGCTCAAAACAAAAGCAAAAACAAATAAACAAGCACAAGTAGATGACTCCTGAGGAATGAAACCTGAGGTTGACTTCTAGTGTCTGAATGCATATGCACACACTTGTACCTGCACATGCACAAACATATACATCCTCCCCAGTGCACATAGGGGCCCCTACTCCCTACACATTAGTAGTAGTGGCTGGGTATGTAGCAGACTAGTAGAGTGCCTGTCTCAAGAGGCCACTTGTTCATATGAAACGCCACAACCCAGTGAGATAGTAGAGATTTCCCCTTCCTTCCTTCCTTCCTTCCTACCTTCCTTCCTTCCTTCCTTCTTTCCTTCCTTTGGTTTTCGAGACAGGGTTTCTCTGTATTGCTTTGGAGCCTGTCCTGGAACTTGCTCTGTAGACCAGGCTGGATTCGAACTCACAGAGATCTGCCTGCCTCTGCCTCCCGAGTGCTAGGACTAAAGGCGTGTACCTCCAGTGCCCAGCTGAGACTTTTTTTCTTTTTTTCAGATTTGTTTTTATTGTATTTTAGTCACATAGATTTCCTTTATGATGAGAAAAAAAAGGTAGAAGCATTTCCAGGGTGAAGCTGTCATTTCTAGTTGTTACTGTCCAGTGTGAGGAGTTGTTGAGTCTAGTTTTTGGAAAAAGGAAGGAAGAAAGCTGTAGTTTCCATTTGGGGTGAGGAGGGAGGAGCAGAAACTAACCCTTCTGCTAAGTGAAGAGAGGGTGATGGAGAGGCACAAGTGAGAATCCAGTGTACGCTTGACCTCATCAAAGTCTCTTACAGAAAAAGTAATTACTTTCCTGAGTGTCTTCATTTTATCTCCAGGGTTGGAGGAAGGCAGGCATCATGATGTGGAGGGACAATGTCTTCTATCAAAACCACATTCATACCAGTTAGTGTGCAGGTGAAGGCAGAATCTTAGCTGTTAATGTTTGTTTATATTTATTTATTTATTTTTGGTTTTTTGAGACAGGGTTTCTCTGTGTAGCTTTGGAGCCTATCCTGGCACTTGCTCTGGAGACCAGGCTAGCCTCGAACTCACAGAGATCCTCCTGCCTCTGCCTCCCGAGTGCTGGGACTAAAGGCGTGTACCACCAAAGCCCGGCTAATGTTTGCTTATTTTTGAGACCGGGTCTTAGCTAATCTAGGCTGACCCTAAACTCCCTTTGTAACTGTGGATGACCTTGGACTTCCGATTATCCTGCTTCCACCCTCCATTAACTAGGATTACAGGTGTGTCCACCAGTTTTGGTTCATGAAGTGCTGAATTCAGGGCCCATGCATGTTAGGCAAGCATTCTGTCAACTAGGCCACATCCCCAGACATCATTGGCCAACTCTGTAGGGTCAGCAATGGCTGGGAAAGTTAGCAACTAGGTTTTCCAGCCTGTCTAGCTGATGGAAGGGAAAAAGGGAGTACGGCCATCCGAGGACAGTGCCTGGCTGTCAAGGATAGAGGCAGCCCTACCCTCCATAACTCCATAACACATTTGACAGTGCATGAAGCCAACTGTGTGTGTGTGTGTGTGTGTGTGTGTGTGTGGGAGAAGAAGAGAGAGAGAGAGAGAGAGAGAGAGAGAGAGAGAGAGCACATGCTAATGGTATCCACTGAGTAGAGACCAAGGGCATCACTAAGTTTCCCACAGTATTAGTAGTATCATAGCAGAGATTGTTGGTGCCAGTTTTTCTACTTATTTGTTAAAGATGAATAGAGGACTGGTCTTGTTTGTGGACAGCCATGTATTTTCACATCAGATATCAGAAAATCTTTTTTCTTTTGAGACAAGGTCTCTCTTTGTTACCCTGGCTGTCCTGGAATTTGCTTATGTAGACCAGGCTGGTCTCAAACTCACAGAGATCCTCCTGCCTCTGCCTCCTGACTGCTGGGATTAAAGGCCTGTGCCACTATGCTTGGCTTGGAATGCCAGAAAGTCTTAATCAGGGTTTAATTGTCAAGTAGAAGTAATTAGATCCCATTTCATTTCAGGGTCACAGAACGATGACAAAAGGCAATTCCTGTTGGAGCGCTTGCTGGATGCAGTAAAGCAGGTAAGAATGCACACACCGACCCAAAAGGTGGTGTAGAAGCCATTTCTTGCCTTTTATGTGCGCAGGCTTATTTTGTGTCTGGGAATGGTTTTGTGTTTTCTTGTTTTGAGACTAGTACAGATCACACTGTACTTACTATGTAGCCAAGGCTGACCTGGAGCTCTTGCCTCAGCCTCCCAACTGCTGGGATTACAGGTGTGTACCACAGTGTCCAGCTTATCTGAGAATGGTTAAGCAGAGAATTTTCCTAGGGAATGACAGATAGAGGAAGTTATTGGTGTGGAGTTTCAAAGTGCTGAGGGGAACTCTATCCTTCAGCAATGACTGTCTTCATTTCAGAGTTTGATTTCCCAGTAGATGTGTTTTAGGGCAGCTCTTCACAGGTGCTGGCTTTCAGTGATGACCCCCAAAGTGCAAACACCCAGGAGCCTCTGTTGCCAGCAGTCGTGCTGGCTCCCTGATATGTGACTGTGGCCATTGATGCTGATTGTGGTGCTGGCCTGCCTGACACTGTAATACTAGCTGTCATCACATGTCCACTTCGTGCCTGGCTCTCTGTAAGCACTTTACAGAGAATTTTTCCGGCCACCGATAGAGGAGTTCCTGTGATTGTGTTCATTTTATAGACCAAGACACTGAAGTGAAGCTCAGAGATCAGTAACTCACCTAAGCTGTCATTAGTAATTGAGAAAGGACCTAAACCTGAGAATTTGAAGAGCCCCTCTTGGAGGGAACTATTGACTGTTGTTTGCATATGATTATAAGGAGGGAAATAGTTTAGCATGTTGTGGGTTAAATGTTGAGGGGGCCCAGAGAATTCAGTGTCTGCTTGAAACTCAAGGGAACCTGGTGTGGTAAATAGGTTGAGGGAGTTCCACGTCTTTTCAGCAACCATACTTGTCTGTCCTTTCTGGTTCCTATGTGGGTTAGACTTTTGTTAGCTTGACACAAGCTAGAATCATTTGGGAAGGAGAACCTCAGTTGAGAAAATGCCTCCATCAGATGGCTCCTCCATCAGATGGACTGTACACAACTCTGTAGAGCGTTTAATTGATGAATGATTGATATAGGAGGGCCCAGCTCACAGGGGCAGATACAAACCCTGGGCAGGAGGTCCTGGTGCTATAAGAAAGGTTGAGCAAGTCATGGGGAGTAATTCAGTAAGTAGTGTTTTCCACGGCTTCTGCTTCAGTTCCTACCTTAGTTTTCTGCATAGATTTCCCTTGATGATGGACTGTGATGTGGTCATGTCTTGCTTTTGATCATGATGTTTATAGACCTAAGGGCATCTCTTGCTTGGAGTCTGGCTTTTCCTCTGTACGGGGGTGCTGGATGAATCACATTTGTTAACACAGGTAGAGTTTGGTCTGCAGTTAATACAGAACACAAAGACAGCAAGACAAGGGAGCGAGTTTAGTGGCTTTATATGTAGCACTTAATGAGAAACAGATTGGTGTTTGTGGTCAGAGCTTCTGAGCTATTTTGAGGAGTTGAATGTGACATTTATCTTAAAAAATAACCAGATTTATTGATATATCATTTACCCACAAATATACCACTTGGTGTGCACCATGTCACAAATTCTGATAACAGTATCCTGTTTTGATTATATGTAATTTTTAATCCTAAGTCTCCATAGCATGAAAATTTGCTATCTATTGCAGAGAATATTGATCTGGGAGCGTGGTACACATATGTAATCCCAGCACCTGGAAGGCTTAGGAAGGAGGATTGTTGTGAATTTGGTCAGAGTGAGACTGTCTCAAAACAAAGCAGATCAAACCAACGGAAGACGATAGTGGTGAAGGTGGGTTGACTGTGGGGGCCAAACTTTATGGCTAAAAATGGTTAGGGTAGGCATTATAGGTCTGTTTTTAAAAGGTGGCTTTCCCATCTACTCAGTCTGGCAGAACTGCTCAGCACAGCCAAGGTGGCTGGTTTGACGGCTTACCCAGATGGCTATCATTTGACACAGTCTAAACACTTTGGGACTCTGTCAAGAAGAGTCATTGGCACAGGCATGGAGGCTCTAAGTGCTGTCAGAGAGCTCTGTGATGCCAGCTGCTGCTCCCTGGAAACCGTAGGTGCTTGTGTTCCTGTCTGCCTAGTTTGCCTACTTCCTGGAGTCAAGAGGGAGTCTAGGCTTTCTGTAAGAGGAGGCCGAGGCTATAGTGTTGGCTTCTTACATCTGTGAAGCACCAGGGCCTCTGTCCCTGCTGTATCTGAAGGCCTTGTGGTCTGTTTTGTGATGTTTGCTGTCTCAGCTTAGCAGCTGACCTCAGCGTTGTCTTTCTCTGTGTAGTGCCAGATCCGCTTTGGAGGGAGAAAGGAGATCGCTTCAGACTCTGACAGCAGGTAAGTGTGTCACTTCTTTGTCATCCTCATTGTTGTCCTCCTCCTCCTCTTTCTTGCATAATTTTATTTATTTATTTTTTTTAGTTGTCTTTTTGAGACATGGTTTCATTATGTAGCCCATGCTGTGTTTTCAAAAAACTCACTTCGTATACCACAGAACTCACAGAGATCTGCCTGCATCTGCCTCCCAAGTGCTGGGAATAAAGGTATGCACCACCATTGCCTGGCTCAAAATCTATTTATTTATTTATTTTAGTATGTGTGAGTGCAAGTGCTCACATGGCATGATACGTGTATGGATGTCAGCAATTTTTAGGTGTTGGTTCTCTTTTGGAATCTGGGGTCAAAGTCAGGCTTGCAGGCTTTGGTTGCAAATACTTCTACCTGCTGAACCCCTTCCTGCTTTCACTTTCCCAGTAGTGGGTTTACAGACAGGTGCCACCATGCTCTGCTAATAGGTAATTTTCATAACTACTTTATCATTCAGGAAAAGATGCCAAGAAATGGAGGCTTCTGTGACTGACTTTGTGGCCAGGAGGGAAATTGGCAGTTAGTTCCACAGTGGATATGCAGCCACTGCTTATCCATATGCTTCTAATTTCCTGTCTTCTCCTTCTATGAAGCTGTTCTACTTGAACTACCTTTCTAGATAAAGTTATTTCCATGATGATTTACAGTTGTGAAAACTCAGAAACCTAAATATTCAATGTTAGAAAATAGGTGATTACTGGGGCCGTGGTGGCACATACCTTTAAACCCCAAGACAGAGGCAGAGCTGAGTTAAAGGTCATCTTAGGCATCTTAGCCCCTGTCACAGAGAAAAAAAAAAAAGATGTAAAGAGACCTGGATATATAGCCCAGCGTTAGAGTACTTACCTAGCATATATGAGACCTGTGTGCATTCCCAGCACCGCAAACATAGCAAAGAAGCAAAATATGATATTCACATGGAATTTTCTTTAAGCAGGAAATGCATGCATATGTAGCAATTCAAAAATTATGTATGTAGGGTCCATAAGATGCCCTGCCACTACACCTGATGATCCGTCTTCAAGAACCACATGGTGGGAGGAGAGAAGCAACTCCTGCAAGTTGTTCTCTGACAATCACATCTGCCATGGCATGTGTGCACCTATAGACACGCAGACACCTATGTAGGGGACACTGTAAAAGTAATATCATTGTTACGGATTAAGGTCTGATAAGGGGTCTACTATCTGTCAGAACAGGGATTGTCATTTTGGGATCTAAGGTCTACCTGCATCAGAAGTGCCTGGAATGCTTGTAAATTCATCATGGTGACTTCAGACCCCAGCCTAGCTCTACACCGTGAAAGTGATGTGAGCAAATGAGAATGTTTTCTTGGCTGGATCTCTGCCTTCTCTTACTTCAGTCTCCCAGTGCTAGGACCACAGATGTGCACAGCACACCCAACTGAGAATTTGCTTTTTCCAAAAACTTCACCTTCAAAAGAATAACAGGAAAACTGAGGGTGGTGGTCCCTGCCTATGATCCTAGCATGTTGGAAGTAGAGGCAGAAGGATTATACATTTAATGTTGTTTTGGCTAGATAGAAAGTTCAAAACCAGTTTGGGCTACATTTAGACTCTGTCTCAAAAAACAAAACAAAACAAAACAAAAAACCCAAAAAAACAAAAAAACAAAAAAACAAAAAAACAAAAAACAAATAGAATAAAGAGAACAGCTGTAAACTGACTGCGATGCAGAGTTGATTAAGAAGTGCTCACCCCAGACTGACCAGCTTGACTTCTCTGTGCAATGTGTGTCTGTGCAGTGTGTGTGCAGTGTGTGTGAAGTGTGTATGCAGTGGTGTGCATGTAGTGTGTGAAGTGTGTATGAGTGTGTGTGCATGTGCATATATGTGCAGTGTGTATGGCATGTGCGAGCACTAGAATATGTATGTCTATGCAGTGTGTGTGTATATGTATCTATGCATATATGTGCATATATGTACACACATACACCCACAGAAAATATGGAAAAAATTTTGTGTTGTTGGGTAGTAGAATTTAAAAAGTTAATTCCTGGGCTGGAGAGATGGCTCAGCAGGTTAGAGCATTTACTGTTTTTGCAGGGGACCCAAGTTTGATTCCCAGCACCTATGTCAGGTGACTCATAGCTGCCTATAGCTTCAGTACCAGGGTACCCGATTGTCCTCTCCTGCCCTCTGTGGGTACCAGGCATAAAGGCACATGTGCACACACACATACACATATAGTTAAAAAAGAAAAAGGAAAAGTTGATTCTGGCTGCTGTTGCTTGTGGCTAGGGATTGATAGTACTAGTTATCAATGGCTATTGCTTGGCACTGAGTTGGCATTGTATCCTTAGGACAACCTAGATGCAGTAGCATCGTGTCTTTTTTGATGATAAAATTGACTCAGAAAGGCAAATGATGGTGCCCAGTTAATGTGTTTATCAGTGTTTTGGTTCCTGTGATAGGCTTTCCAAGACAAGTAACCTAAAAAGCCATGTGAGTCATGGCTTCAGAGGTAATAGTCCCCAGTTGCTGTATCAGTTGCATGGTGGTGCAAGCTGCTCACACTGCATCTGGGAAGCAGAAGGGGCTCCTGACAAGGGACAAGGGGCTTGGGATATCCTTCAAAGAATGCCTCAGTGACCTACATTCTTCAACTATGCCCTGCTGCCTAAGGTTTCTGTGACCTCTGAATAGTGCTACAAATTACAGATTATCAGAGGATCATTCCTTTGAGAGGTCACAGCCCTCTCAATCCATTCATTTCTCAGAAGCCCTAGCTCTGAATACTGCTGCTTGGGGACCAAGTCTTCAACACATGAGGGTACTTCATATCTAAACATGACAGACATTGTGGACGTTTTAGGATTGAGCTTTTCTGTATCTGCCAGCTCTACATCTGTGAGTTCACCTGTAGACAAAAGTACTAGAAAGGCAGGGGCTACAGCACAGTGATAGAATGCATGCTTAGTTATACAAGGCTTGAGTTTTGTCCTCAGCACCCTCCCTAGCATCACATTGTACTGAATGTATACACACTTTCTTGAGGGGTGGGCATCATTCCCTAGGCATATAAGGTAACTATTTGCCTAGTGTTTACACTTGGTGGGTATTACAAACAATTTAGAGAGGATCTGAAGTTCATAAGATGATGTGCGTAGATTACACAGACGACCACACCAACCTATATGAAGGCCTTGAGTGTCCATACATTCCCTCACAAACACTGGGGGGGGGGGACTGTATTTTCCCTCTGTAGTGCCCATTGAGTGGTCAGATTGATTTTGAGGCTGGGGTTTCAAAAGCCTTGCCTTCTCCCTTCGGGCATTCCTTTTCATTTCTGAATTCTGACATCACTGCAAGCATGCCTGGCTGTAGGAGCCACCTTCACTGTCCATTCTTGTGAGAAGTTTCGCCTCCAGAGGGAATGTTGGCTGCCATGAAGAGGCAGCAGTCTTGCAGCTGTTTGCCAGTCTCCACTTGGCCTGCCTGCTTTTTTGGATAACTAGCCAGATCCTTAGCATGTGTGCCTGACACTGAATATTCTCTGGAGGCCTTCCTAACCTGTCTTCAGTGCCAGACAAACCAGCTCCCTCAGCTCCTCCCTCAAAGGACTTGGCTGTTTCCTCTTCCCCTTCCCCATCAATCCGTCCTGGCAGCTGCCAAGATCTACAGCTAATGAAATTGTCTGAGGCTTCAGAAGAGAGATGTAAAATGGTGGAGGAGTCACTTTCATCACCTGTGACAATGGACTCTGCCTCAGAGTTCTGCTCCCCTGTGGATTCTCTGCCACCTATCTGTTGTTCCCTGTCACACTATTCTTCACAGTCAGGAAGCCTGGCGAGGTGAGTGCTGGTGTTCAGCTCTCTTTTAATTTGGTCTGATACTCCAGTCCATAGATTAGCGCATGGTCAGGCTGGATCTTCCCTCCTAAGTCCCTTTCCTTGGAAACACCTTCTCAAGCACTCCTATAGGTGTGCTTCCTTGGTGACAGTGGAAAAGCAGGGTGACTGCTGCTGCCACTTCTTTCTCCAATGCTGGGAAAGGAACCCAGGGCCACACATGCTAGGCAAGTTGGGCTATACCTCCAAGTCATATCCCCAGCCCTAATACAGCTTCTTGACTAGGTCTCTCTCTGCATTGTTCTTCAGGACTCTTAAGAGCCAGAATCTTTAGGGAACAGTGAGGATTAGAAGGAACTGGGATTTTTTATTTTTTAATTTAATTTATTCTTTGATAATTTCATAGATATATACAATGGATTTATTTTGTTTCTGCCTACTTCCCTCTGTCCTTCCCTTTGTCTTTGCCATCCTCCCTACATTCCTTTTCCTTCCTTCCTTCCTTCCTGCACACCAGAGAGGGCATCAGATCTCTTAACAGATGGTTGTGAGCCACCATGTATGTGGTTGCTGGGATTTGAACTCAGGACCTCTAGAAGAACAGTCAGTGCTCTTAACCTCTGAGCCATTTCTCCAGCCCTGGATGCTGTGTTATTAGACTGGGAAAAACTTCTAAGTTTGGAATTGGATCTGACATCTCCCCAACATAGGCTTTTTAGTTTTGTTTTTTTACTTTGCATTGATGATAGAACCAAGAGTCTTACATTTGGTATACAGGTATTCTACTACAGTGGTAAGTCACCAACCCTGCATGTTTTTGTTTTATTAACCAAATTAGAAAAAAAAATAGTTTGAGCATGTGATACTGGGGATGCCATCCAAGACCTTACATGTGTTATGTAGGTGTTCTATTTCTGAGTTATATCCTCAGCCCAGAGTAGCCTGGACTACCTATGTAGCCTAGGCTAGTCACAAGTAGGTGGCCACTTACCTCCTTCTCCCTGTGTTAGCAATACAAGCATGTACCAGCACACTTGGCTATGAGTAGATTCCTTCCGAGAAAAAGAGTATTTTTAGCAGATGTAGAGCTCTTGGATATTTAAAAAATATGAGTATGTTTTCTTATCTAAATTTAAATAAACATTTATCTATGGTATAAA